TAGTTTTCTTTTTCCCTGTGCCTTATATACCTCTGGATATACCTGGTTTAATATCAAAGACTCTAGACCAAAGAATGTTGTTCAGAAAATGCTGATTTTTTTAATTAAAGGAAAACTTTTATTTTTTTTTTTTTTTTTTTGGCTGCTGCTGCTGTTGCTACCTGTCCTTGGTGAACAGAAAAAGAATGTATTTAATTATTTATATTCGCACTTTACCTGACAACAATTCAAAAACTTGAATTCTGACTTGAATTTTTGTTTATCTTTTGTCCAGAAGTAGCCTAATGAACAGCAAAGTTTAATAAAACATTTTTGGAAGAAGTATTAATCTTTGTTGTTTTTATTGTTAGTTAGCACATGACAAAATTGACCTCAAGCTAAATTGAAAAGCTAATTGCTAAATAACCGTTGCACTGTGCGAGTCAATCTGACGAGTCAATTAATCGTTTCAATAATCATTGACGAATCAACAATCAAAATAATCGTTCGTTGCAGCACTACTGTTCATACTCTCAGCATGCTGACAGCAAAGCAGCTCAATGCTGCCTGTCTGTTTCTTTTCAATGCAATATCTCTGTTTTCGTTTCAGGTACTCATAAGTTTTGTCAATTTTAGTTTACGGTCAGCTTTCCAGAGATATGTCTGAGGACTTTGCTCTTGTTGGCACTGTGGCTTAGTTGGTTAAAGTGCCTGTCAAGTAAACAGGAGATCCTGGGTTTAAATCCCAGTGGTGCCTCTTCCTTCTGGGTGGTAGCCATTTTGAACAATGCTTCATTAGCTCCTTTCAGGCAAGGAAGCGGCAGAGCTGTTGATGCACAACAGCGAATACTCGTCCGTGATCAAAATTCAGTGTGAGCCTTGGGCTGCGTTAGAACATTCAAAAAATGATGTTCCATCAGATAATTCCTCTCCGCTTCTTTTTAACCTCTGAAAAACTTCATGAGGTTAAGGAAAGCTGTATGAGGGAATTCAATGCGGCTTAGGAAATGACATCCGCGCTGCTTAGACAATTTGAACGCACTTACTAGGCAACGTGATCATGTGTGGGATTGTGGGATGGCGTCACCTCCGTGCTTTTCGTAAAGGTTGGTACGATGTACCCTATTTTAAAAGGTGTTCATTCAAGATAGGCATGGGCAACGCTCTGCATAAACTCTAATGGAATGCGTAACAGCGGAACTGGGGCGGTAAACAAGCCTCAGAAAACTTATAAAAAATGACGTAAATACCATTTTCACACAAAAAGAACACCATGGTTTGATTAAAAGCAACCTTTTCAATAGGATACCCGCATTTCATACATGAACTCTGCATATTACGGCCAAAAACGCGATTTGAACAGAGCTACTGTTCGCCCGTAGGATGAATGCGTGACCTCAATTTGCACCGTGTTTACAAATTTTCAAGGGCACGACGTGGCAAAAATAACCATTTAGGAGGTAGATTTCAAACAGCCCGCGTCCACGTCTTATCCCAGCTACGGCCCTGATTTGCTGACAGCCATCTAATTTGAGAAAATACGAGTCTGTTCGTCCAGGCTAGACCTCCAGGGGATGTGAAATAAGTTCAACAGAAGTTAGTGAAGTTCGTCACGAGTTCGCCGTGATTTCTTCTCAACAATAGCAAGAAAGGTGAGCGTATTTTTTACTTTACCCAACATAGTTTGTTGACAGAATATCCTGTGACCCTATTTGTGAAGTTTCAGTAAAATATACCAAGGAATGAACTGGCGCCAGGCGTTTGAAGCCCACTGGTCACAAGATTAATTCACGTACACGCTTCAATTCGAGACTGCAAGGATGGAAATCTGAATAATCAATTAGGAAAAATTCTCAGCTCTCGGTGATTCTGTATATCGTTTAAACATTTTGTTAATCGGATTATGAAAGAAGACTGAAAATAAGCGCCCACTTTTTGTTTGGATGTAAACGCGCGTATTTAAAGGAGAATACATTGTATATTGATTAAGCATTGAACTCTGCATAAGTCGAACTGTTTTAATATTTGTTGATGACATTGCTTCGGCTTCCTGGAAGAAAGTACGCGCAAATCTGCTGTCTAGTGAGCGTTTCAGGTTCGATGCACTGAGTAATAACGCCGCGGAAACTTAAACTGGCCCGTCATTCTGCCGAATAGTCTTACTAAACTAGTTAATCGTCTGATAGCTAATCAAGCAAAGGGGAGGTTTCTGCCTCGCCAAACTAACCTGCGACTGCACGTCACTGTGTTTTACTATGAATTATTCACAGTAGCTCATTGAAACTATCATGGGAGGAGGGTATATGGACATAGTAAAAACAGTGCAAAGTTTTTTTTTAAAAATCACCACGGGTTATTGAATGGGGAACGTTTCGTAGCAGTGGGAGGGCAAACAACTGCCAGCATCAGCGACTTCACTGCATTTTATATAGTAATGGGCAAGTAGCATTAATGTTTGCCCTCCCACCGATAATTTTGACATTTTTGCAGGCCATTGATCCAAAAAAAACTTCACAGGCAACCCATTCATACCATTTTTTAATATTAATGCAAAACCTAATGTTGAACATAATTGGGTGAAATTCAATGCATTTTCCATTAAAAAGGGCCTAGGGGGCGCTGCTGTACTTCAGAAAAGGGGGAGATGACTTTAGCATCAATTATTTCTGTTAGGGTACCCTAATGGATAATTTGGCCTGGTTTATTTCTGAATAGACTGTATTTTCGAAAATGCCCTCAGGCTTCACCCCCCAATTTTCACAATGGGTTTTGTTGAAAAATGCCGAAATCAGCCATTTTTGGGACCCTGTGGCTATGAGACCCTTTCCTGTAAAGGCGTTGGACTTGTGGCAGACTCTTCGTCTGTGTCTTCTGTACTTACCTGCAAAAAATCATTAGAAAATAATAAACACTTTGTTCTCAGCAACTCAAGAAATGTTGTCATTTTATTCATTTGTACTGCCCATGCCTATTCAAGAAGCGCTGAAGCACCTCTCAACATTTTGAGAATTCAATCAACCTGATCATGGCTGCCGCGTAAATACTTCCTCGTCCTTTTCATGGAATTAAGCACTTTTCTATGCGATAATGACTATTCGAAAGCAGCTCCAGACTGGTGTATTAGCTAGCAGCTCGGTAAATTCACCATGAAGATTTCCACAATCTGTTTTATTTTCTCCATGTTAGATGAAAGCACGACATTTGATTTTTTTCTGACTCCTGAGAAAGTAATACTGTGCAGGAATTAACTCTCCACAGCCAGGCCTCGGGCTAAAAGGACTTCGATTACAGTTTCACACAGTGTGAGAAAAGGAAGGGAAAACTTCTTTTGTAGTTACCGAAGTCGCTTTTCTCAATTTTTTCAAAAAGGACATTTTGCGACTTAAGTAATTTCAGTCCTGGGGTCTTCAATTTATTTTAAGCTGGGACTTATTCAAAATGTTTTCTGTGGTAAAAAGCAAATGTTTAAAATGGAAAACATCCTCAGCGTTTGGAATTCCGACGATTGGCGCAGGACAGCATCATTTACACCCTAAAGCTACCTAAATATGTGCCGTTTAATGAGCTACACGAATTCAGAATATGCAAAAAATACATTGGCGTTTTATGTCATCATTGGGGAAAATGTTTTTGAAGCAATGAACGGGAATCTTGGCTAAAAACAAGTAGGCTGGTCGTTCTGATCAGTCTTTGCAAATGATCAGATTATGCTTGGTTACTGACAAGACATTTAGAACGGCATTCACACACTTAGCCTTGACGTGATAAGTAATTTATAAAATTACCAACGTTTTGACATGAGTTTTCTTCAGAGCATTGACGGACGATTAAATACCCCGTAGACTTCCGTCGAAACTGCTGTCATTTTCAAAATTAATAACTGCATCGCGTCTGAAAGTGTCTCCGTGTTGACAAATAGGAATGTACTAATAGGATAATATTCCATATCGATGCAGGCTTTTTCATTATTATCGCTCATGTGCAAACCTCTCAACAGAATAACATCTCACTTATTCAATCTATTGCGTTGACATTACCTTTCTTTACAAAAAACATCATCGATGTTTCCCCGCCAGACGCCTTCATGTTTTTCGCGGCGGCATCTTTCAGCTAGTCATTGAGATCTTAAAGATTTTCCGGAAAAGCAAGGACGTTAAGATGATGGAAAGGGGAGTAGAACTAACATTAGACTAGTTCCTATGACACGCGGGATCTCATTGGATGTTGCAATAATTCTGGAGTAATAACAGCACGGCTTAGAACAACGCTTTATTGTGACGGCCAAGAAAAGGTGAATCGGCAAATTGAAAAGTGTTTTCCAAATAAAATGCGTAAAAACTCGCCGAAACCTTTTAAATTCGTCAGGAAAGTAACCGGCGGAGGAGGTTTGCGTAGTCAACAACTTGCCCAGCTGCCGGGGCTTGCGGAACACTCAGTGATGATATAAAATTACTTCTGCCTTGATTTGAAGTTAGTAATGTACATTACAGATTGAGTCTCAGTAAAGTAGTGGACCCCTCTGTCATATTTCTCTCATTTAAGTAGCACTAGTATCACACTTGAATGAAACTTTTGAATGCAGAGACCAATGAAGAATGACATCAACCTGTAATACCACGCCAGTTCCGAAGGCAAGGACAGGCAAATTTTTTGTTTGGGACTCTACGATCATGGTGATTGTGGGAATTTTTGCACCTATCAGGAAAAAAAAATTCTGGCAGATACCATTTTTAGGGAATTTAACACATGAACACAACATGCAGGTTGTACAAGACACACCTGATGGGAGTTATGCACACAGTCGCTGAAGTAATGACGGCGTTAAATTCACCATCAAGCCACTGTGGCAGGTGAACTCAAATCACCATTCCCACAAAACGCGCGGGCGGACTGTGGCACAAGATATTCCGACCTCGCCTTTGTGAGACAGTTGTCCTCCCAACTATGGGAAGAAATGGTGAATGGCAGGCATTTTCAGCAGAAGCCGGGTTCCCTGTCAGGGTCAAAAAATAATGAAAGTGGCCCGGCTAGCTCAGTGGGTAGAGCATGACGCTCTTAATCTCAGGCTTGTGGGTTTGAGTCCCACAGTGGGCGCCTCATCTTAACTAGTCTATGCGTGTGCAAAGTGAATCCAGCGCATCTCTGGAGATGTGAAAAACATCTACTGTTCATACACTCAGCAAAGCAGCTCAAAACTGTCTGGTTCTTTTCAATGCAATATTGATGCTTTCATTTCAGTTACTCATAAGTTTTGTTAATTTCAGTTGACGGTCAGCTTTCCAGAGATATGTCTGAGCACTGGCCACTCCTTTACTCTTGTTGGCAGTGTGGCTTAGTTGTTTAAAGTGCCTGTCTAGTAAACAGGAGATCCTGGGTTTAAATCCCAGTGGTGCCTCTTCCATCTGGGTGGTAGCCATTTTGAACAATGCTTCATTAGCTCCTCTCAGGCAAGGAAGCGGCAGAGCTGTTGATGCACAACAGCGAATACTCGTCCATGTTAAAAGGGGTTAATTCGAGAAGCACTGGGCACCTCTCAACAGTTTGAGAATTCAAACAACCTAATCATGGCTGCCGCGCAAATACTTCTGAGTCACTTTTTTCTTGGAATTTTGAAGTTTTCTATGCAATAATGACTTTTCGAAAGCAGCTCCAGACTGGAGAATTAGCTAGCAGCTCATTAAATTCACCATGACGACTTCCACAATCTGTTTTATTTTCTCCATGTTAGATGAAAGAACAACATTTGATTTTTTTCCAACTCCTAAGAAAGTAATACTGTGCGGGAATGAACTCTCCACAGCCCGGCCTCTGGCTGAAAATACTTCAACTGCAGTTTCACACATCGTGAGAAAAGGAACGGAAAACTTCTTTTGTAATTACCGTTGTCGATTTTCTCAATTTTCTCAAAAAGGACATTTTGTGACTTAAGTAATTCCAGTCCTGGGGTCTTCAATTTATTTTAAGCTGGGACTTAATCAAAATGTTTTCTGTGGTAAATGCATATGGGAAACATCCTCAGCGTTTGGAATTCCAACAATTGGCGCAGGACAGCATCATTTACACCCTAAGGCTGCCTAAATATGTGCTGTTTCATGAGCTTAACACGAATTCAGAATATTCAAAAAATACATTGGTGTTTTACGTCATCATTGCGGAAAATGCCAGATAACTTTGTGATGCAATGAACAGAAGTCTTAGCTAAAAACAAATTGGCTGGTCATTCTGATCAGTCTTTGCAAATGATCGAATTATGTTTGGTTACTGAAAAGACATTTAGGACGGCATTCACACACTTAGCCTTGATGCGATAAGTAATTTATAAAATTACCAACGTTTTGACATGAGTTTCTTCAGAGCATTGACGGATGATTAAATTATCATGGTTTAGCCGTGCGTTTGTTCACCGTGCACCTGGCATCCTATCATTGCCCATTACAGTACATTCTAGCCAAACATGGATTTGTTAGTCGCGGCTATGTTAGAGAAAGCTTTGGCTGATCAGCAAGCCACACACTCGGGCTATGGCAAGGGCTTGTCTACCCTGAACAGTCGACAGGCTGAGTTGGCAGAGCGAGTCCGCCATCAGGACGAGGCTTTACAAAAACAGCAGAGCGTCCTGTTAAGTCTCACTGAGAGTATTCGAGCCTTGTCCACTCAAATTACACAGAATGTTGCACAAACACTATACTCCCCTTGTGAGCCTAAGCTCCAGCTACCTCCACGATATGGAGGCGAGGCAGAGAAATGTAAAGACTTCATCGCCCAGTGTGAAATATTTTTCAAAGCTCAGCCTTCGCGTTTTGTAAATGAAGAGTCTCGGGTTTCATTTCTTTTATCTTTAGTTGACTGACAGCCCTTACTTGGGTCGGCCACTTATTCGATCTAATTCACCGGTCGTGAGTTCAGTGGAGACTCTCGTTAGGGAGATGGTGTCGGTGTTTGATCAAGATTCGTGTGGGTAAGACGCGGCTACGCGTCTAATGCATCTTAGGCAGGGTTCTGAGAGCGTTGCTGAGTTTTCTATAGCCTTTCGCTCTCTAGCAACAGACACAGGCTGGCCAGAGGCGCCTCTAATGACTGTCTTTGTTCATGCCTTGGTGGAGGAGGTGAAGGACGCTCAGGCTACATTAGAACCCTGTACTTCTCTGGATTCGTTGGTTCGCACTACTGTGCGAATTGATAATCGAATTCGTGAACGCAACAGAGAATAACGTACTGCTTTTGCTCTGGCTGACAACGGGGCTAATCTTCCCCGTAATATGCATATAGCTCCTATTCCATCCACTGAAATTTTCACTCATGGGGAACCGATGGAGGTCGATTGCTCATATGTGAGCCGGGCTCTTAAGCCCATTCATAAACCAATTATCTGCTATAACTGCTATAAACCGGGACATATTCGCCCACACTGCCCTGATCTTAAGGGAAAACACGAAATCCCTCTAGCTGTATGGGGGGCGCTAGAGGGACAGACCCAAACTCCCTTCTGAACCTTGATTTCTGCAGAATTAACTGTGGGTAAACAGATAATTCCTGTGGAGGTTTTTTTTGGACTCGGGGGCCGTGGATTGTTTTCTGGATGCAGAGTGGGCTGAGAGGCATTCTATTCCTATACGCCCTCTGCTACACTCACGCAATGTTAAATCTTTGGACGGTCGCCCGTTAGATTCTGGAATTATAACTGAGGTCTCTGCACTAACCATGTTCATTCCCTTCAGTTGCCATTCTGAGGAGGTCTGATTTTTTATTATTTGTTCCCGTTTTTCCTGTTGTGTTACGGCACTCGTGGTTAGGGAAACATAAGCCTCACATCTGTTGGGGTAGGCAGACTAGCCCTTTTGTCCAGTGGGGCGCTAATTGTTGATCCCACTGTAGGGAGAGTTTGACGTGTACTTCTGGGCATCAACCTAGGGAGGGAGGTGGATGCCGCGAGTGATTCTGCTGAGTTTGTCTCTGACAGCCCTCCAAGTCTGGAAGAGGAGGCAGAGGAGGGGTTGGAGTGGGATCCTCAATTGACTGGCAGCAGCCAGAGGATGATTGTGATTTGGAGGATCTCTTTGACTGTGATTCAGTCATGGATATGGCGAGTCCTGAACAAGTGGAGAGTTTGGGGGCCGCTTTGAATTTTGATCTGCCTCCTAACGTTCCTAGTGATTATGCTGATCTCGCCGAGTTTTTAGCAAACAACGAGCCTCCACTTTACTTCCTCATCGCCCATATGATTGCGAGATCAATCTCCACCCTGGTACTACTCCTCCTAGGGGTTCGCTCTTGCTAATGGTTTTATTCGGCCATCCACGTCTCCTGCCGGAGCGGGGTTTTTTGTGGGAAAAAAAGACGACGGTCTGAGACCCTGTATTGATTATAGGAGTTTGAATAAGCTCACCATTAAAAACCGATAACCCCTTCCGTTGATGAATTCCGCGTTTGAACGTCTGCAGGAGGCGTCATTTTTGACCAAGCTAGATCTCCGAGATGCTTATAACTTAGTTCCCATTTGGGAGGGGGACGAATGGAAAACGGCATTTAATACACATGACGGGCACTGGGAATATTTGGTCAAGCCGTTCGGATTGGTTAACACCCCTCGGTGTTTCAAGCACTCGCTAATGACTTCCTCCGAGAGATGTTGGAGACATTCGTCTGCGTTTATCTTGACGACATTCCGATTTTTTCTTCAACGCTCTCAGAGCATAAACAACACGTCAGACGTGTGCTTAAGGCCCTCCTTAATGCCAAGCTTTTTGTCAAGGCTGAGAAATGTGTTTTTCATGCCAGGACTGTCTCGTTTCTTGGTTTCATGGACCCTGTTAAGGTGGCAGCGGTCAGGAATTAGCCTGCCCCTCAAAACGTTAAGGGGGTGCAATGGTTTTGGGGTTTGCCAATTTTTATAGGAGGTTTATCCGTAATTTTAGCGTAGTAGCTGCCCCCATTATTGTGCTGACCAAGAAAAATTCCTCCTCGCCGTTTGATTGGTCCCCAGCAGCTGAGGCTACTTTTCAGGAGTTAATGAAACGTTTTAGCTCAGATCCCATTCTTGTCTTGCCCGATCCCTCCCACCCGTTCGTTGTCGAGGTAGACGCCTCTGAAGTCGGGGTGGGTACCATTTTGTCCCAGCGCCTCTTTCGGGACAATAAGCAAAACCTGTGCGCCTACTTCTCCCCGTCATTGTCGGCGGCCGAACGGCATTACAGTATTGGTGACCAAGAGTTGCTAGCTGTTAAGCTGGCATTAGAGGAATGGTGCCATTGGTTGGAAGGGGCTGAGCATCCGTTTGTGGTTTGGACGGATCATAAAAATCTCCAATACATTCAACAGACTAAGGGACGTCATTCCCGGCAGGCACGGTGGTCGTTATTTTTTAATTGCTTTAACTTTACGTCAACCTACTGCGCGGGGTCTAAAAACACCAAGCCTGACGCCTTGTCGCAGATTTACGACCACTCTGGTCACGACCCTCTGCCGGAACCGGTTATCCCGACTGATCAGATTGTGTCTCCCATTCAGTGGGACGTTGAGTCTGATGTGCGGGGGGCCTTAAGGTCCGATCCCGTTCCTGGTGGGGAACCACCTGGTTGTTTGTTTGTTTGTTCCGCCTTCAGTACTCACCCAGGTTCTCCAGTGCGGGCACTCTTCCCGCCTGGCGGGTCAAAACAGTTCTTGACCCGACGTTTTTGGTGGCCCAGCATGATGGAAGATATCCGGGAGTTTGTAGCAGCGTGCGGCGTCTGCGCTAGAAATAAGACTTCCCACCTCCCTCCCTCTGGTTTGTTGCGGCCGTTACCCGTCACTAAGCGCCCCTGGAGCCATATCGCTCTTGATTTTATTACGGGTTTGCCTAATTCTTAGGGTAACACTGTCATTTTGGTCGTAGTTGACCGCTTCTCTAAGGCTGCCCATTTAATCGCCCTGCCGAAGGTGCCTTCGGCGCGAGAGACGGCCATTCTTGTTGTGGACCATGTTTTCCGCCTGCATGGTCTCCCGCAAGATTTGGTTTCGGACAGGGGCCCTCAATTCACGGCTAAGTTCTAGCAGGCCTTTTGCAGTCTGTTGGGGGCCACTGTGAGCCTTTCTTCTGGCTTTCATCCAGAGAC